GTCAGGATAGCGGATGGGATGCCTGGAACTCAGCATTTGTCAGGTCCCTCCGAAGTTTGTGCTTTCAGGATATTCCCTCTGGGTCATGATCAATCCCTGAGTAGCTGATCCACCAGTCACAGAGACTGGGTCTGTTGCTCCATGGTGAGCGAGTCAGAACACTTTCCTGCCCTGCCTTCAAGATGGCAGTGGGGGGCCTCTCTTATCCTCTTCTGTGGGACTTTGCCTCTCGACTCTCTCGGTAGCCCCTGCAGCCGTTGCCCTGCCAGGTGCTGAAGTGTTGAGGTGAAGCCTGGAGCTGGCAGTCTCTCCTGTAGCAATGGTGAGGCAGAGTCTGGGGTGATGGGCTCTCCCCTCCACTTTTTCACAGGAAAACTTTTGTCCGTTTAAAAGAAAAATGATGCTTGGCTTCTGCGACCTGGAAAGAGCCAGGGACCAAGAAGAGAAGCTGCAGCACCAGCTGTTGCACCGGGGGTCTGGCCACTTGCTCACGAGTCCCCACTTAGTCTCTCCCAGCATTTTCTTCCCAGGGTTTTGTTGAAGAAAAAAATGGTGCTCGGCTTCTGTGTCCCTGGAATCACTAGGGTCCAAGCCCAGCAGCTGTGGCAGCAGCTGCTGCACCAGGAGAGCTCTGGCCACTAGCTCCCTGGCCACTAGCTCCCTGGCCCACTCAGTCAGCCACTCACATGCCCACTTGCTCACCAGCACGTACACAGAATTTTCCATACACTTACTTGCTCACACCAGGACTTGCATAGTCCAACAGCCTCTCACAGGTCTCCAGGATACGTTTTCTGTTTCTGGTTCTACAACTGCCTGCCAGCCTACAGACTTGAACTGGGACACTGACTCTTCTTTATGGTTCTACAGCAACTTCTGGCCTTTGGACTTGAACTGGGGCATCAGCTTTTCAGATATGGGGGGCTAACAAAAGCCTCCATAATCATGTAAGCCAGTTCCTTATAACTGTATGGATATGTTCTGTTTTTCTGGATGACTCTAATAAATACAGGAAGGTTGCTGCCCTTTACACGAAGAATCTTGAGTGGCCTCCCCTGAGGGAGTTGCTTACAAGGTACTCCTGAGGTTCCTCAGGACCCACTCCACAACACCTCTTTTTCTTTTTTTATAGAAATAACATTACATTTTAATTCTTTTTTAAAATTTTATTTTAGAGTTGTGGGGCACAAGTGAGGATTTACTACATAAGTAAGTTGCGTGCAGGTGAACTCTGGGCTTCTAGCTGGCCTTCTCCCCCCCCGGATAGTGGGCCTGGTACCCAGTGTGTTGCCACATGTCTCCCTCCTTCCTCCCTCCCTCCTGTCCCTAGCAGTGTCTAGTGTCTGCCAGTCCTACCCTTTGTGCTCATGTGACCAATGATCAGGGCCCGCTTATGAATGAGAACATGTGGTATTCAGTTCTTTGTGTCTACCAACACATCTTTTTGTTTCTATATGCATAACTAGAGTCAACTGAAGAAACCCTTAAAAGATGAGGTACAAAATGTGACTCATGAAGAGATATGACATATTCCAAGACAATTGCATGGTTTTTTTTTTTTTTTTTACAACTTACATGAACAGAAATCTGGGGGATATGTGTAAAAATGGATATTACAGGTGTGTGATCAAGGTGGAAGGGATGTAAAGTTATCAGGCTGAACTTACAGGCTCACCAATCAGAGATTCAGTGTTTTAACCCAAGGAGTTAGGAAGGGCTCAGTTGGTTGTTTGCCTGGATAAAAGGATAGCCTACACTAAACGAAGGTGAAATGCCTTGTTATGTTGTAGAGGAAGGTGTCCAAAGGCTTAAGGAGACTGCAGTGTTGGAGTACACTTAACATGCAAGATTGCTCTCCAGTCCTGAAAGGAAATGCCTTTTACAACAGCTGTGAAAAATAAATTTGCAGGGCAGCATCAGCATCCATGAAAATCTCTGTGGTCTCTCTTCTCTGTAAGTCAGAAATTACAGAAGAAAATGTGACCATTTAATTAGGATTCCCAGACACAATGGAGATAATGGGATACTGGGATGTCAAGGGCCAAACAGTGGCATTCAGTTGCCAAAGATAAGGTGGAAATGGTTACCATAATGGGTAACAGTTGAAATAGTAATCAGGAGAGTTTGCCTTGTAGCGATTGTGGTGTCAGCAAGTTATCATGGTGTTCCTAGAATAAAACTAGATGGCCAACCTATTAATTTCTTACTTGATCTGTATAAGCAGAGGAGTTCTAGGTCTAGGGAAGTGAAATCTGACTTGAATTACCAAAACACAGAGTTAATTCCTTCAATCATTTCCAAATTTGAGTCAGTTAACAGACTCTGAGGCCCTTGAAAAAGGACCCCACTACACTGCCAAAAATTTATACTGTTAATTTTCTCAGTATTCCCTCAGAGAGATCTATGGCCCTTTACCAGGTTGACTGTGTATTAGGGAAAGGAAATTCTGAGGAATGGAGTTGAGGCTTGCCAGGTCAACACTTCACAGAGCCATTCACAGTTCTCCCCTTGTCAGCTTGTACCCATACACATTTCCTTAACTTGTTAATATGAGCATCAAAGTATCTTAGATACAGAAATTTTATAATTAAATGTTAGCTGCTGTCTTTGTCATTTCCCTTTTCCTTTTAATGGTTTTGTTGGTAGACAAGGTGACACCTGGAAGGCAAGTAAAATATAAACCAGGTTCTTACAAGAACAGTATTTGTCTCCTGCAATTCTGCTACCCACAATAAAAATTCACTTTAGTGGGCAGTTGTTTAACCATTCTGTTTACTTACTTGATATGTTTTGGATGAGGTTCATAGACTTAAAAATATGTGAAAGAATGTCGGAAACTTAGAAGGACTATGTTTTATAGTACTTAATAGATTGATGGCTACATGCATGGAGAAGTAACCATAAACTATTTTTAGAAGTACTGAAATTTTAAAAAAATGATGCTTAAAATATATCTGTTGTACCATATTAGAGACCATAAATGACAGTGGGAATGGTAAAGCATTTGTCTCCCTTAGCTTACAATAGAAGTCCAAGTATAAGAACATATTGCAGTAGATACCTATTACTATGAAAGGATGCTAAAGATACTTCCTGATGGTTCTCTGAGGACCTATACAAGAAAAAGTAAAAACTGAAATGTGTAAAGCACTTATTAGATGTTGTCTTCAACAAAAAGTAAAAGGAACATAAACACATTCTGGAGAAAAGCATACATAGGTAATACTTTAATGTTCTTTGAAAATGTACTGAAAATATTGTACTTCATTAGCTTTAGGTTTCTTTTACTTTTCCTCTCCTTGGCTCTTTATTGAAAATGAGTTTTTATGTGATTAGTAGTGTGTAAGACACTAGAAAGTACTGTGAAAGAAGAGCATAATGAATTTTTGTTTTGCCTAAAATTCATTTATGTATTTTATTTATAAATTCAGTTATCATCTATTGAATGGCTACAGTGAGCTACATACCAGAAGAAAGTGGTTTCTTTTCATCTCAGATTTTATATGGCTTCTCATAAACTAGTAGCTCTAGGAAATGCTATCCTTCCTAATATTTAGCAGTTTTTAACTCCATTTGTACACAAATCCTTAAATTTGTATAAAATTTAAAAATATTTAAATGCAAAACTAGTAATTTACAATTTTTCCTCAATTTAGTTTTTTTAATATACCAAGTGACATAAATTTCAGATGTTATTAATCAAGATGTATATAATCAATCCATTTAGAGTGCTCTTCTTGACAATACTTTCTTTTATAAAGGGTAATATATTTATTTAAGGGTATTACATATATTTGTATTTAGTTTCTAGATACGGATTTATAAACTGATATATATCACTGACCTAACAAACATTTGAGGGGAATTCCCCCCAAACCGGAAGAACCTTTGAGAGGTAGGCCCTTGGAGTACAGGTTTCCTCCATAGGTGAGTGTTCTAGAAACCTCTGGTATCAGGGGCATCAGGGTATCAGCTAGTGTTGTTGTGTTTGGCTTCAGTGAATTTTTTTTTTTTTTTGAGATTCTTTCAACACATTTGCCCATTTCATGATGGGTGATTTAAGAGCACACCTGCCCACATCATGCTGAATGTTCAGCAATTTTTGACCAAAAAACAGCATGACCCTGTGCTCCACCCTCCATATTCACTGGATCTCACCCTTTTTTCCAGATGAAAAAAGTCCTCAAAGGAAAATGTTTTGCCATTGTGGAAGAGGTGAAACAAAAAATGGCAGCACTAAAAGACAACAAAATTGACGAGTTCAAAAATAACACACACACACGTATATATACGTTTCTAAGAAGGCTGATGTTTTCTCTTGTATCATATTATTTTTACCTTGAGTAATAAACTGGCAATTATAAATATCCATTTATGAGCACAGATTTATCTCTGTGTTTCTAAATTGTATTTAGTTTTCTGCTTTCTGGATTTGATGATGTCTAGAGTACACTATTGTTTTCTTTAATAAATAAAACTTAGAATACAATAACAAAAATAGTATTAGAATAAAAATCTGTACCATGTTTCTTAGAATGTCACATACCGTCAGTCAAGTGCTTTTATTCAAATACAGTTAATAGTAATTAGGATCAATTTTAACTTTTCATAGGTTGGAACTGTTACAGCCTGGCCGAGTCAAAGTTTTTTGAATGGTGGTAGTATTTGTAGTGCCATGAGAGATTCACTTATTTTATATGAAAATATGCTTATTGAATGGTCACATATATGGCATTCTAGTGTAGTAATGTTGGATTAGTAGTTTATAATCAAAATTTTTGTCCTAGGTTTTACAAAGATCGCATGAATAACTGAATATATAAACTTATTTCTCTTTGTGCGTCAGTTTCTTACTTTTAAAATTAGGATACCTGTGCCAGTTCTTTCCCATACTAGAATAATTCATATCTCCCCTTTTTTCTTTTAATAAGAAAAAATTAATTGTAAGGTTTACTGCAATGAAAAATAAAAGTCAGGTTTTCTTTCTGTAAATCCATAAAGACTATTTCCCAACAATTATTTATTCCAGACCTTAAATCAGTTAGTAACAATAAAAAAATTAAAAGCCACTCTTTATTGCACATTTATAATATAGTTAACAAACTCCTAGTTATATGAATCATGAAATTAATTACATTTAGACATGCATTGCTCTTTTAAACTACCGAGAGTCAATACGTTTTTTATTTCTTCAGGTAATTCACCTTGGAATTTGGAAAATGTTAATATAGCTCTCTAAAGTATCTATTGTGGGGGTTAGTCTCATTGTATTTACTATTCTGTTGTTTATAATAATAAAAATGTTGTACTAATTAGATCTATACAAAAAGAATAGTGACATTTCTTGGTAATAGAAGGGGACATAAGTAGAGAGAATTTGAAAACAGAATTGAGTATACCCTGCTAGATTAGTTCTCAGAGAATTTGGTTTATCATTAATGCATATAATTTGCCTGAGAATAAGAGGTGATTGATTAAATATTTTATCAGTTAACTACTATCTACCCAGATCATTTCTTTTTGTATTTTTACTATCTTTAAGTGGGGAGAAAACTTCAGTCTTTACAATTAAAAATAAATATAAAAGTGATATTGTAAAATTAGAGCCCCATATCCTAAACCAAGAACAACTATGAAATTAATAGTGTATTGTTTCTAAGTGCTAGATAGATTAGATCTTGAATAAAGTTTAGTCCGTTACATGAAAAACATTAATAAATAAATTCATTATTCTCAGGCTTCCTAGAAACACCTACAATTTATATAATGCAACATTATAAAAGTTTCAAAGCACATTAAAAATGTTTAAGCAATTGTTATTTACATAATATATGATTGTTCAATTGTAATAAGGTATGAAAATTCCTAAAACGGAAAGAAAAAATAGCAAAGAAAGCAGAAAACAATGAATCCAATGACCCAGTTCACTGAATAAATATATATTATCACCATATCCATGTCAAACCACCATCCACGACTATCATCCTCAAAGTGCAGGTAATCCATCCTGTGTGCCCCATGTGGGAACTGCCTTCTTGTAACTGGAGCTGCACGTCTGTGGAAACCTAGAAGATGCATGAACATATTTTAAGCTCATTAAATTCATAAGTTCTCAGAAAGAAAGCTGCATTATGAAAACAAGTACCATGAACAAAGCATATCTTGATTTCACTGAAATACACTATGTTGTATTTCTGAGAGTTTTTTCAAAGATAAATAACTATTTCAGAAGCTTTTTCTTATTAGGGTGTTAAGGGCAGGGACAGTCAAGTTAGCAAACAGCATGGGATATGGAATCAGAAGGCTTGCTTAGTTTGGTCACTTAGTTGGGGCAACTTGTTTATTTCTTTGGGTCTTAGAATTCTCATCTAAACCATCTGATCACTTCAGAAATTTTTGAGGATCTAATGTGGCTATTTTCATGAGAACATTTTTCTAAACTTAAACTTTTTCATGTTTTATTTTTACTATTTCTGTTACAACTACTGTTTGTAACTCATGGTCACCAACTCTACCTTGTATCTTATCATTTGAGAATTTCAGTCAGTCTAGTTATTTGAGCAGCAAAGTTATTTGAGAAGAATGTCTCTTGTTGTAGTAATGAATAACGTGGACAGACATAATGGCACTCCTTTGAAGAAACTTAGCTTTAATTTCTATAAATGATGGGCCTACTTAAGGGGATTTGTTGCTAAGTAAACTATAGTCCACTTATTACTAGATGAATATGACATTTCTGAGAAATATTATATCTCATGAAATGCCATTTTTTCTATTAACATGCTAATTATTTAGAGCTTGAATATAAACTTCCCCAATGACAACTTGTTTTTATTGGCTAATATATATTATCAAAGGCATCTAAAAAACAAAATTCAGTTTTCTAAGCACTTATGATCTGACTACTGATCTCTGTTTTACTTATCTTCTGCTTTCTTTAAGTATTTCTTTATTTGTCAGTGTTAGAGAATGGGGACCAACAAAAAAACTGGGTAGAGAAAATGTAATTCTGGTACTTGCTGGCAACTCTTGTGATAAATGTTCTGTGAAGTTCCAACTTGAAGCAAATTCTGGTTCATCAGTTTTAATGATTGAGAATGTTAAATATTATGTTCTAGATCAGACTGTTAATTTTGATGACAAGGTTGATTCACCTAGGTATTAATATGGTTATTTAAAGTAAAAACTATTAAACAAACACAATTCTATTTTATTGTTTATATGAATCTATAAATTATGTTTGCTTGTATTACATAGATTTAAAACACTAAAAAGGATGAAATAAAGATGAAATAATGTTTTAGAATAAACTGTAGAGTCACATTTCAAATAGGTTTTTGATAATTTCTAATTGTTTTTGGCTGACTTTCTATTATATTTTCTTTAATTTTAAACTTTCTTTTACAGATATGCAATGTTTGTACATATTTATGGGCTACATGCAATATTTTGTTATATTCACAGACTGTGTAAATGATCAAGTCAGGGTGTTTGGCCTGCTTACCACTTCAAGTATTTATCATTTCTACATGTGGGAACAATGCAAGTCCTCTCCTTTAGCTATTATGAAATATAAAAAGCATTACTAACTGTAGTCACCCTACTCTGCTGTGGAATATTAGAACTTATTCCTTCTACCTAACTGTCTGTCTGTACCCATTAACTGACCTCCCTTACCCCACCCACACACCCTTCCCGGGCTCTGGTAGCCATCATTCTATTCCTTACCTCCCTGAGATCAACTCTCTCAGCGCCAACATATGAGTTAGAACATGTGATATTTGTCTTATTGTGTCTGGCTTATTTCACTTAACATAATGACCTCCAGTTCCATCCATGCTGCTGCAAATGACATGATTTAATTCTTTTTTATGGTCAAATAGTATTCCATTGTGTATATGTACCATATTTTATTTATCCATTCATCTGTTTATGAATAGTTAGGTTGAGTACATATCTTTGCTAATGTGAATACTGCTGTTATAAACCTGTGAGTACAGGTATCCCTTTGGTATACTGATTTCTTTTCCTTTGGATACATAGTAGTGGAATTCCTGGATTGTATAGTAGTTCTAGTTTTAGTTATTTGAGAGATCCCCAGCCTGCTTTCTTTAGAGGCTGTACTAATTTACATTCTCACCAGCAGTGTATAAGAATTCCCTTTTCTCCAAATTCTTGCCAGCATCTGTTATTTCTTGATTTTTTAATAGTGGCCATTCTGACTGGGGTAAGAAGATATCTCATTGTGGTTTTGATTTGCACTTCCCTGATGACTAGTAATGCTGAACATCATTTCATATACCTGATTGCCATTTGTATGTCTTATTTTGAGAAATGTCTATTCATGTTCTTTGTCCACTTTTTAATAGAATTATTTGGTTTTTTTACTGTTGAGTTTCTTATATATTCTGGATATTAGTCGCCTGTCAGATGAACAATTTGCAAATATTATCTCCCACTCAACGGGGTTTCTTTTCATTCTGTTGATTGGTTTTTTGTTTTCTTTTTGTTGTGTAGAAGCTTTTTAGTTTAAACCTCATTTGTCTGTTTTTGTTTTTATTGTTTGTTATTTGAAGTCTTAGCCATAAAATCTTTGCCTATATCAATATCCTGATGTATTTATCCTATATTTTCTTCTAGTAGTCTTATAGTTTTGAATCCTACATTTAAGTTTTTAATCCATCTTCAATCGATTTTATTATATGGTGAGAGACAGGGGTCCACTTTTATTGTGTATATGGATGTACAACTTTCCAGCACTGTGTATCAAAGAGGGTGTCCCCTCCTCAATGTATATTCTTGGTGCCTTTGTTGAAATTCAGTTGATTATAAATATATGGATTTACTTCTGGGTTCTCTATTCTGTTCCATTGGCCTATGTGCCTGCCTTTAAACCAATAACATGCTATTTGGTTAATACAGCCTTGTAATATATTTTGAAGTCAGGTAGTGTGATGCCTCTAGCTTTGTTCTTTTTGCCCAAGATTGCCTTGGCTATTTGGGGTTCTCTTTTGGTTCCACACACATTTGAATATATTTTTTCTAGTTGTGTTAAAAATGACATTGGTATTTTGATAACAATTGCATGGCATCTATAGATTGCTTTGAGTAGTATGGTCCTTTTAACAATGTTAATTCTTTTGATCCATGAGCATAGGATGTCTTTCCATTTGAGTGTTTCCTCTTTAATTTATTTCATTATTATTTTGTAGTTTTCCTTGTAGAGGTATTTAACCTCTTTATTTAAATTTATTCCTGGGTATTTTTTTTTATCACTATTTAAATAGGATTGCCTTCTTGATTTCTTTCTCAATATGTTATTGTTACACATTGTTATTAATGTGTAGAAAGACTACTTAATTTTGTAAGTTGATTTTGTATCCTGTGACTTAACTGTACTTATTCATCAGATCTAAGAGTTTTTTTTATCAATCTTTAGGTTTTGCTACATATAAGATCATGTCATCTGCAGAGAGGGACAATTTAGCTTCCTTTTTTACCATTTGGACTACCTTTATTTCTTTCTCTTGCCTGAGTGCTCTGGGTAGGACTTCCAGTATTATGTTGGATAGGAATGGTGAAAATAGGCATCTTTGTCTTGTTCTGTTTCTTAGGGGGAATGCTTTCAACTTTTCCCCATTCAGTATAATGTTAGCTGTGGGTTTATCGTGGCCTTTATTATGTTGAAGAAGATTTCTTGTATGCCTAATCTGTCAAGAGATTTTATCATAAAGGGATGTTGAATGTTCTCAAATTTTTTGTGTGTCTACTGAGATGATTTTATAGTTTTTATCCTTCATTCTATTGATGTGATTTATCATCTGTATTTACTTGCATATGTTGATCCACCCTTGCATACTTGAAATTAATCTCACTTGATCATGATGTATTATCTTTGTGATGCATTGTCAGATTTGGTTTGCTAGGCTTTTAAAAAATGCTTTTTGAGGATTTTTGCATCAGGGATATATTCATCAGGTATATTGGCCTGTAGATTTCTTTTTCTGCTGTGTTCTCATCTGGTTTTGGTATCAGAATAATGCTGGCCTCATAGAATGAGTTAGGGAGAATTATCTCCTATTCCGAATTTTGGAATAGTTTGAGTAGAATTGATATTATTAGTTATTCTTTGAAAGTTTGGAAGGATTAAGTAGAGAGGTCATCTGGCCCTGAAATTTTTTTTTGAAGACTTTTTATTACTAATTCAATCACATTATTTGTTCTTAGTCTATTCAGGTTTTCTGTTTCTTCCTAACTCAATCTCAGTGGGTTATATATGTTCAAGAATTTAGCCATTTCCTCTAGGTTTTCCAGGTTGTTACTATGTAGTTGTTCCTAGTACTCTTTGATGATCTTTTGTATTTCTGTGACATCAGTTGTAATGTATTCTTTTACATATTTGATTTTGTTTATTTGGGTCTTCTCTCTTCTTTTCTTGGTTAGTCTAGATTGTGGCTTATCTAATTTTGTTTATCTTTTCAAAAAACCAACTTTTTATTTCATTGATCCTTTGTAATGTTTTTTATGATTCTATTCTGTTTGGTTTTGCTCTGATCTTTAGTATTTCTTTTCCTATGTTAATTTTGGGACTGGTTGTTCTTGATTTTCTAGTTCTTTGAGCTACGTTGGTAGAGTGATTACTTGAAATCATTATACATTTTGATACAGGCATTTATTGCTATAAGCTTCTCTCTTAACACTGCTTTTTGCTGTTTTCCATAGGTTTTGGTATACTGTATTTTCATTTTATTTCAAGAAAGTTTTTGATTTCCTCTTTAATTTCTTCGACCCAATGGTCATTCAAGAGAATGTTGTTTAATTTTTATGTATCTATACAGTTTCCAAAGTTCCTTTTTAAAATTGGTTTCTAGTTTACCTCAATGTGGTATGAGAATATAATTGATATAATTTCAATGTTTTTCATATTTATTGAGACCTGTTTTATGTCCCAACATATGGTCACGGAGAATGTCCCATGTCTTGATGAGATGAAAGTGTATTCAGTTGCTGTTGAATACAGTGCTTTGTAAATGTCTATTAGGTCTATTTGGTCTAATGTGTATTA